TGCTTAGATCAAAACCAAGTTCCTGCTATTTAGAATTTTGGGATAAGAACCTTGATTCACAAAGGTGGAAGCAGAACTGAGCCCGTTCGGTCTACGTGAGGACTTTCCGTCACCAGCCAGCCTTCTGCGGACCGGGTTGTGGCACCTGATGTAGCTGCTGGAGGAGCACTAGTGTGATCGAACCCTAGCGGACTGCCATCCGTGTCCTCCCTACGGGCGCCAGAAAAAGGAAAAGAACCTAGTGTTCGTTCACACCGCGTTTGGCCACGTGACGTCCGGCGACCTTCAAGAGTTCGGCATTGGGGATATGAAAAAGATGTAAAAGACAGTGGTCAAGTACGCGCAAATGACCAGAGGAAACGAAAAGCGACACCACTTACCATCTACAATAGGGGAACAACTCGCGGACTGCATTTAAATTTTTAAAGGATTTTTTTAAGGTTTTCAAAGCATTTCGTAGCATTTCTTTGCGTTTTGGTCTGGCCCAAATAGCAGTGCGGAAAAAGAACATCATCTTTAAGATGCGCCGGCCAATGAACATGTTTGCCGTACCTAGTCGAATTTTGCGGTTCGGCTAAGGAAGTGGTCGAGTTACCTGGGTCGTCTTACCAGGCCTGCGGGGCGGCAGCTGGTGCGCCGCCCGGTTTAGCTGGAAGCGGCTGGACTGTTGACCTATGGTCGTATTCCAGGTTGCCGGCGGATTCAAAATGAGTGATTTTGAGTCCGTCTGTAGTAATGGCTTTACATTTGCCTTAGCGTACAATAATAATGTCTCGGTCCTTACGTTGGATGATCATAAATGGCGCTTCGTATGGTCGTTCTAACAGTCTATGAATGCATTCGACACGGACGAAAACGTGCTAGTAGCGATGTAAGTCTTCGGGAACGAAGCATTTAGCTTAAAGGCCCTGGATTCCAAAGGTCGAGATAAACGTAGCTTAACCGACAGTTGTTGCGCATAAGTAGCGTCGAAGCAATAAGCGTTCGGAACGGGGGAGAAGAATTCTTCAGAAAGTCGTAAAATCTGTTCATAGACTAACTCGGCACTATACCTTTTCGGAAGCAAGCCAGTCCTTAACGGAAGCAAGCTCCTCCTTAAGAATATTCAACCGAATTCATAACCACATCAAGCTGAATCCATCGTCTTGACCGATTGCAAATCAGTACAAGTGTACTCAGAACGTCTGCATCGGTTGGTGCAGCGCTCAGCCAACAAACCACGTGAGGCACAGTGACGCGAAAACATTAGACGTCGCCGTGAAATGCGCCTCAGGTGTTCCAGCAGCGTTGTGTGCAGTTCGCTCGCGGTATCTCATATACACACATATTCACAGTTATTGTGAATACATTTTGAACACCGTTAGTCATCTTATCTACGAAAAGTGTGTATTTCAGATACACAATTGTTGAACAGATCCCGAGTTTTATTCCTTGGTTAGTGCGGTCGGAAAGGCAAAGGTAGTTCCTTCTAACTATAATATTCTTATCGTCCCAATCCATTCCGCTGTATATCTTCAATGTGATTTCAGCATATTGTGAAACGTGGCTTTCACTACCGGTTTCGGGTGTCCACTATCCAGGAATTACCTTACTGTCTACTTCCTTCTCTGTGCACATGGCCTTATCTGTGAAACACAGAGATCGGAATTGTAGTACTGTGTCCCATCTGTGTCCGTCGGTTGACGATATATCGGTTCGGAAGCTAATCATTCTTGCAAACAGAGCAGTCAAGGAATGGCGATGTGCTACTCTATGGTGGGCGATTTCCGATTCCTCACAAACTAGCTTTTCTTATCCACATTTGTGTTCAAAATGTGCCATCCACTTGATACCAACAACTTTTGGCCATTTACTGGAGTTTGCCAGTACTATGTACAACATAGTGGACATTGGCGATCTAATGATAAAATCATGTTCTCCAGTGCCTACTTCCGACTGAAACTCGAGCTAGAACAATATACCGCGCAATCTCACTGTCGGTTGTTTCAACCAACTTAATTTTCGGTCACTCCCTAGGTTAATCTCTTCCGCCAAACGGTGTTTCACCCTACCCAGTGCAATCGATACTGTCGCATTGTAGAGTAGATCTCATGTCTGGTCGTCTGCGCGTAACAGTGAGCACGCGGATGGCCGCCCACTTCTGCGTTGTGTCTTGATGCCGCGTAAGTGAGTGGGTGGAGGTTACAGTACTTCCTCAACCGTCCATAGATGCCGCGTGCTAGTCCGCACCCATCCAACAGTGAATGAACTCACGTGTTGTTTTCGCGTCACTGTGCCTCACGTGGTTTGTTGGCTGAGCGCTGCACCAACCGATGCAGACGTTCTGAGTACACTTGTACTGATTTGCAATCGGTCAAGACGATGGATTCAGCTTGATGTGGTTATGAATTCGGTTGAATATTCTTAAGGAGGAGCTTGCTTCCGTTAAGGACTGGTATGATTCCGAAAAGCTATAGTGCCGAGTTAGTCTATGGACAGATTTTACGACTTTCTGAAGATTTCTTCTCCCCCGTTCCGAACTCTTATTGCGTCGACGCTACTTATGCACAACAACTGTCGGTTAAGCTACGTTTAGCTCGACCTTTGGAATCCAGGGCCTTTAAGCATAAATGCTTCGTTCCCGAAGACTGACATCGCTACTAGCACGTTTTCGTCCGTGTCGAAGGCATTCATAGACTGTTAGAACGACCATACGAAGCGCCATTTGTGGTCATCCAACGTAAGGACCGAGTCATTATTATTGTACGCTAAGGCAAATGTAAAGCCATTAGTACAGACGGACTCAAATTCACTCATTTTGAATCTGCCGGCAACCTGGAATACGACCATAGGTCAACAGTCCAGCCGCTTCCAGCTAAATCGGACGGCGCACCGGCTTCCGCCCCGCAGACCTCGTAAAACGACGCAGGTAATTCGACCACGTCCTTAGCCGAACCGCAAAAGTTGACTCGGTCCGGAAAACATGTTTACTGGCCGGAGCATCTTAAAGATGGACGTCCTTTTTCCGCACTACTATTTTGGCCAGACCGAAACGCAAAGAAATGCTACGAAATGCTTTGAAAACCTAAAAAACAAAGTCTTTTGAAAACACAAAAGCAGTCCACGAGTTGTTTCCCTATCGCAGTTGTTAAGTGGTGTCGCTTTTCGTTTCCTCTGGTCATTTGCGCGTACTTGACCGCCGTCTTTTACTTGTTTTTCATATCCCAATGCCGAACTCTTGAAGGCCGCCGGACGTCACGTGGCCAAACGCCGTGTGATCGAACACTAGGTTCTTTTCCTTTTTTTGGCGCCCGTAGGGAGTACACGGGTGGCAGCCCGCTAGGGCCCGATCACACTAGTGCTCCCCCAGAAACTTCTTCAGTTTTCACAACCTGGTCCTCAGAAGGCTGGCTGTCGACGGAAAGTCTTCACGTAGATCGAACGGTCACCCACGGTTTCCCTTCTAGCAAAGGGGCTGTGTAGCGACCTGGAGGTTTCCCTGTACGATGTGTAAAATATTATCAAAATATAGTCCCCTTTGTACGCAGGGAAATTAAGCGTGTGTCTGTCGCTTGCTGACCACCTTGGTTTATATACATACAGTTCCGGAATTCCAAGACCGGAGTTAAATCTCCTACGCTACCGGAAGGTCTCTTCTTTACTCTCCCTAGCTAGCTTTTCTTGGGTGCCATTTTTAACTTAGTGAGCCTGTAAGTTTCAGAAATAAGCGTATACCTCGTGCTTTCTTTCCTTGTATTTTCACTCTCTGTTGGTTGGTTGTTCGCATATAGTGTCAGTCTATCTATTCTGCTACACATCAAATCCATCCAAAGGTTGAACCTTGGAGTATCGATATGGTAACTGGGGAATACTGCCCAAGTCACTGCTGATGATATACTGACTTCGATCGATTGAGCCATTCTAGCTATGGCTGTGCTAACCCAAAAGTATTTTTAAACTCGTAGCATTTACTATAAACTTAGGTCGTATTGGAATCATGCTGATCGTGTGTCGTGCAGTTTAAGCCGTATGGATATATAAATTAGAATTCGCGTATTTGTTTGAGCCTCACTAACTTTACGCATTATTTCCCAGAGCTCGATCTGACGAAGAAAACACAACTGAGCACGCTTGACTTCCACAACCACATGTTTGCACACCTTACCGTCCTTTAAGACTCTTCCAAGAGTTTGCTACCATAAGTGGCACACTTAAAGGACATGGGTTCCCAACTCAGTCCGCGAAGTCAACATGCAATGGGGTTGGCAGGTGTTATCACTCTACTCCAAAGTAACTATACCTACACTGCAACCACCTCCACTAGACAGTCTTATTCACAACCAGCCTGCATTGTCACAACACTAAGGGAAGTCAACTGCGAACGGCCAGCTGAAGTATGTACTATCCCGACTCTATTAAGATCGGCAAATACGAAGTCACTACAGTATAGGAAACAGCGATAACGAAAACATTCAAAACGTCACCATGTTGATGATTTGCTATGGTTTGCCATGGTGTCTACCCCATGGGAATAGTCTAGGTTACGAGTAGGAGATAATGGTAGAATTTCAAAGCAACTAGCTGGCTTTTAAGTTGTTCGGTAAACTTAGAAGGTACTGACATTGTTGATAGTAAAATTCCCGGGGATCCCACAAATGTTCGCATATGGTAGCCCATGAATTCAACAGAACATCTAAGCAGACGGTATATCTTGACATCTTATCGTTGCTTTTTTGACTGGTTCTTATCCATGTATGATTGTTCTATTGGTCATATACTTCAAGATACTTTGTGTGGAGATTTCACCCAACCCGTTGCTTTTAGTGTCAACTTTAGCAATCCGAGTTTATCCCGGTGATTTACACTGGACTTGTAATTCAGAGCAGTTTGTTTGCTCGACATTCAAACTTAAAAATATTAGAAATTCTTTGCTACACAGAAGTGTGGCCCACGGAGCTGGGACGGCAGGTTAAGGCAGCAAACACGAACACATTCAATGCATATGGAAGGAGTAGCGAAACTCATAGAGTCATTGGCCAACATTCGGAACAATTTGTGGACTCACTTAGTGCAGAAAGATTGTGTGGATCACTGTTGTACCCATGTGTGATTTCAGAGGCTGTTGAAACGAGATCAGTGCACGAAGTGACGAGAGTTGCCTGTGAGTCGTCTCTCAGCGCTAAAGAAAGAGCAATCAGAGACTGCTTAGTGGGGCGGCGGCATTCAACATATGTCATCAGATATTCAAAGTTGGATAACTTGCAACTAGCATGGTAAGTACTAGTTGCTCCCGATGAGGTAACAATTAATATGGATGGGGTGCTCAGTCACACTGATTTTCATTTGTTTACAATATAACGTCAGTATATTAAATTTGGTTTGCTTTCTTGCAGTTAGTTACCAGTACTTCAAGAAGCACGGGTAGTGTCCTCGTCTTCATCACCCAGGAGCGAATTACCTTTCAGTATGCATTTACCGAAGTGCGAATATGTTCCTGATGTTTGTGTTCAGCACCGTTATTTCTGTGGTCAACAATTTAACCATACTTAATAAGAAGACCCATCTTTTCTGACCCCACGTCTCTCAAGAGGTGTTCCCAACTTAAATGTAAACTGCACTCTGCCAGTGGAAATCGTGAGTGATTAGATATGGAGTGATGCCCTGACTTAGCCAATGGATGGATTGTGGACATGAGATAGTTGGTTCAGCAGTAACCTCACAGTATGATCCTGTAGTGACTCAAATGACCGCTTCGTCTGATAGTTAGAGAAACGTTTACGTGATCGGTGCAGAAGCGATGTTGCGTAATTTCAATGGAGCGGATAACACTGCTTGTTACCTCAACCCAGCTATTGCTATGCAGCACACGGACTTGATCTAATCGGCCTGTACTAACATCGTCAGCGCCGAGCATGTGTGGAGCAGCAGACAAGTAGCGAAAATTGGAGACATTGGATTGCACCGCTAAATTGCTGTCTTGATGTTGCAATGCTAATTGAGCTGGCAAATTGTTCATTTGTCACTAAGGTAATCTGCTAAACGCATGACTAGCTGGTCAGTTTAGTGTCCTTTAATGACTTTCTGAACATAATTGCATATTCGCTGTCGTGTGAGTGATTAGCCTAGTACCGATGAATAGGGTCCCCTGGATACAGCAATGCAAAGGTCACTAATCACCGCAACTCTACTGCTAAATACGAATCACCAAAGTCAAACGCTATTGTGATAGCATATGTATAGGATATCTAAACTACGGCTATGACACCACGCAAGCTATAATATATTCGAATCGGCAGCAGCACTGGGAAGTGCGAGTGTGATTCGAATTCTAGCACGCAGCAAATTTGTTCCGGGCTATTCAACTAAGCGCATGCAGGAGCACATAGACGGAGGCTCTGAGTATAAAACTAAATAGTTTGGAAGTATTTTATCAACGTACTCCAGATGAACTGGAAATCGTCGCGCCACTACCTAGGGTCACAGATGCTAGAGACATGCCATCCCTGAATTGCTACAGAAATTTTTCGCAATAGCAATGATTTTTAAGGGTGTGTGTTGCATATTCGGTATAAACGTCGCGTTCTACATATGATGACACTCGAATAAGAAAACTTACTAGGGTCCATGTTGTAATGAGATGCTACGATTGGTGAGATACCCATATCCTTGTTTGCCACTGTGACTGAGGTCGCCCTGTCAGAAACAGGCCGCCGTACGACTTGTGGGGCTTTTTTCTTTCGTGGCCATGGTCCAGAGCCCTGACCTGAATAGGACAAGCTAACGTGGTGTACTTTACGTGAAAAGAAAAAACGTGAAAGCGTTGATAAAATATACCAACATCCGACAATGTTTTACACAATGGTCGTTAAGCACACTGCCGCTAGCCCGAGCCGACTATATATATATATATATATATATATATATATATATATGGCGGGAGAGCTTATGGTGCACTGAGGCTGGTGGTGGCTACATCCTGACACATGGTCTACCCACTGCTGCTAATGTTGTGCCTATTGCTCATGTCCTGGACGCCTTCTCGTTGCCACCGCTGGGTGGGAGTTGGGTTAGGCCCTTCTCCCTGCTAAGATCCAGGACACCAATCCGCATGAGTCAGTGAACTGACCATGTGCTAGACCCGATGCCTTTCGGGTGGACGTCTAATCCAAATCTTTGGTTCCGGACCAGAGTCGTTCTCCTGTCAGGTCTGGGCGCCCTGCCACTATCGTAGTCCATCCCCTTCCCGTAAAATCTAGCCATGGGAGACAACAGGTCTACGGGTTATAAGCTCACAGCTCGATTGGCGTAGAGCACGAGCGCCGCGCATTGTCTCTGACGGTGGGACGGCACCTCCGCGTGTTCAATGGTTTGCTACTGCCCGCCTCAAGCCAGGCAGCCCCTGGTCAAATTGGTACAAACCCGCCAAAAACCACCTGAGTCTGGCCGTCGTCGCAGGTGTATCTTACTGCGGTCGCAAAACATATATAAACCTTTCCAGTACCTCCAGTGCTGTGTTTGACGACCGTCAAGCAGATCCCAATCTGTCTCTGCAATCACTTTCCCTAGCTGGATCTGCTCCCCACTGCCTTGTGGGTCAGGCTATTGAGCCAAAGTCTCCGGGCGGAGTCCCTCAAACAAAACTCCAAATCACCCACTGCCTTGTGGGTCAGGCTATTAAGCCAAAGGCTCCTGGCGGAGTCCCTCAAGCAAACCTCCAAACCACCCACTGCCTTGTGGGTTAGGCTATTGAGCCAAAGGCTCCGGGTGGAGTACCTCAAGCAAACCTCCGAAGCACAACGACCACCTCGCGTGCGATTGCCCACCAATGCAATCGTATGCCTGCGCGCAAAGCACTCAGCAGTTGCCGAAGTGCGGGAGAAAGACCTCATACATGCAGAGAAGAAGCGGCAAGTGCGGAAGCGGCAAGCACTGATGGGTTGTACTCCATTGACATCGAGCGCATGGTGCTGTAGCACATGCGGTCGCGAGTGCCTGAGTCAGGCACGCCTAGTGAGCCATGAGCGAGGCCACTCGGGACCATCACCGAAGCGACGACGGGTCCTGCAGAGAACGTAAGCAGAAACGGCGCAGCGTTGGTAGGTACGCTGCATTCGATTTACTAACCGTGTGCTTGCATGCTAAGTCTCTTTATTTCAGGTGGTGAGTTTGCAATTTTGTCTTAATGCGTTTCTTTCTCATATTAATCGCTACCTGTGCTATCTTCTACATAAGTGCACACGTTGCTGTAGCTAATTGTAGTTAATTTCGATAACATTTTCGCGATTGTGGCAATTCCTTAAGATATATTTTCTGACGTCTTGAACTTATCGCGAATTACTTCGTAATCAATTTATTTATACGCCAATTTAGTGAAGAGTTATGTCTCCGGATCTGTATGCATTATCCGATTTATTTTATTTCATCTTGTCATTTCAAGTGATTGGCTGTTGTTTGATATCCTCGGTGTGGCTGCACTTGATGTGCATGTTGACAAGGTGCCTACCTGTCTATTTCCCAATACCTCGTCCATACTGGTTCTAGGAGACAGTTGGTCGTTGCTGGATGGGACGGAATGCACGGTCCTTGTGGCCGTGCTAGGCTCGAAGAGTGGTTCCATGCACTCAGTGTGGAGCGGACTACGGTCCAGCCACCGCCATGTGTGCGCTTGATTCCCCAAATACAGCGTGCTTGTGTTTGCCTGTGAAGGAGTGTGGGCTGGCTCCGTTGATGAAACGTGGCTCCTATCCACATGCCTCTCGGTCTTATTCCTGTGGTTTTACACTGGATATGAGGTGTTTGGTAGAGCTGTGGGTGGTGCAGCTCAAGCCATTCATGGTCCCTCTGTAAGCGCAGGCGTCCTGTGGCTGGCCACAGTGACAGGCAAATCCGAAACCGGATGCCGCCATCGATATATATATATATATATATATATATATATATATATCAACAGTCCCTATCAAATTTGATACCATTCAAGGAAGTCGAATGAGGCGGCTTTCGATCTCTATTTGTCTGGATTTGCGGGCAAGCTACACAAGAGTTTCAGCGTTTGCACATCGACAGGACAAAGTCTATTTTGCAAGTTATAGTGGTACGGTTACACAGGGTGTGGTTGGAATTATTATATGCAACTGCCATATGTCATCTATCAGATAACGTGCATCCACTCTCTATGCATTTCAACTGTTATCTACCATATCGCCAGCTCCTATACATCAGCTTTTCTGGGTTATCGTTTTCACTGTTCCTAACTGTCACATGGGCTAGGGAGATCTAGATACAATAGGCACACAAACAAACGTCTTACAGAGAGGAGCTCAATCTTGACGATGCATGAGGCAACACCAACAGGTCTTGTGACCCACATTTTCCTCTTGTTCTCCCCGATGACATATACCATTTCGTAAGGTGGAGGTGGCAAGAAATTTCATGTTAGTTTTTAGCAGTGGAATCAACGTTGCAAAATATATCCATTTATTAGAAGGAGCTTATTAACTACCATACCAATTTGTTGCGAGCTTCCTAATGCACCATGTGATTTTTGCTTCTTTTGAACCAAGTCAATCTAGTTTAGCAACTGAACATATGAACGGGGGTGCAACCGTGATTTGGCAGTAGACTATGTGCACAGTGGTAGACATACACAAGATGTGCAGGTCCTCATTTCTATACGTGACAGCCGATGTGCAGTTAGGAGAGGTACAGTATATTGCTTGGATTCACAAATTCAATTGAATATGCTCGCAAACATACAAATGGAAGGGGAACAGGAATGTTTTCACTCGCATGTTTTCCGTTCGATTGTATACTACCCGGATCATTTGGCATTAAAATATTATGTTATCAGTAAGTTGCAAACATTCTCGTGGTTTGTGCACCAAGCCACCAAATCCGCGAGCACGCATCAGGTAACTCTACACAGACACATTGTGAAGACCAAAGCGGAGCCATTTACTGTGGTCAATATCAGCAACCATATGGAACAATTGTATATTAGGGGCAAATAAGCTGATGCTTACCAAATTCCGTAGGATGACCAGAAAGTGAACAAAAACATGGTGAATAGCAACAAGTGATAAAAGGAAAATCGCTTTTGTGGACTCCTCACAGTGTTAGAACACAGAGGCACTCAGAAACGGCAAATTTCAGTTGTGTAGGTTAATTTTGGCTGTGTAACGTTCATCGCATTACATCGTCTGTCGAGACACCCAGGCTATATCCCGTAATGTAGGTGGGTTGGGACAACATCAAGGCGTTTTTTAAACCCAGGTAAAGTGGCGGCGGAAACAAAGCAAATTTGGGAGAACGTTCCAAGGCTGACACACAAGAAGTGAGTAAAAGTTCGGTGGACATTCTTGCCGACTGTATTGCGTCGCTAGCTTGATCTGGTGGCCCTCAAATTCATGTTGTGGCTCAGTAGTAGTAGATGGCGGCAGACCTGTTTGTTTTTACTTAGAATCTGGTAGGCCATAATAAGTTTGCCACGTAGGCACCGGCACCAGCCACTGTATAAGTTTACGGTTCTCAGTCTAAGTTGATAAAGAAGATTGAATAACTTTAACCTGCTTCGTGGCCCGTTGCTGTGGAGTCTAGAGTGCTGCAAGTCCTTGCTTATGTCAAGGCTGCCACGCCTGGATTGCGTATTCCACATGTGGCCGCAAGTAGGTGCTAAGCAATTGCAAACATACAGAGGGATCAAACCGCCCGAATGCACTCCGCAGCATCCCAACGTGTTGGTTCCCAGTCTTTGACGTCTTCTCAGATTGTTCTGAGCAGCCCAGATCAGCCATAACTAATACCCCAAGGTCGCGCTCTTGGGTGACTGCTTGCAGGACGTGATCTCCAGGCTTGCATGTAATGTTCGAATAGTGGCGAATATGGACCACCTTACACTCCACCGAATTGAACTGGAGCAGATTGTGGAGTGACCACCCATACGCTCTGTCCAGGTCTCGCTGAAGTGTATTGTGATCTGTTGGATCGGAGATCGTCCGTTCTGACAGCCAACAGCTTTATCAGTCTGAGGACTCTCTTTTCAGCGACATGGTGCAAGCTGCGCTGTATGCATTTTTGGCGCACATAAATCTGCGGCTCTACAATGTTCTTTATCCGTCTAGTTCGCAGCTGACCCGCGTTCGTCTAATTTCTTAGCACTCGTATACTACTGACACCAGACGCAGTAGTGTCAGCTTTTGCTCTTGCACAACTTGATAATGGACACATGCAATCGATTTGCAATACCCAATCAGTACAGAGTTGTGATTTCTTTAGAAGCCGGCTGAGGAACCTACAAACGGTCATTACTACTAAGAGAAACAGGTGATGATTGGAACAGAGAGAGGCCTAGTAGCTGGAGTTCACTGTGTAAGAGGACAGTGGCGGCGGTTCAAAAGCGCAACATTAGGTGAAATTCCCTTTGGTCGCAACTCAAAAATATGAATATTCATTAGCTTGCACTAACTTTTTGATTATCCTGCAGCTAATAGCACAGTTAACCATGGAAACAGTCAGTTACTATGCTTGAATAGATTATCATCGCCAAGCTATGTCGAGAGCAAGTGAAAAACCAGTGGGAACTTTTCTACAAATCTTGCATCTAGAGAGGTTTGTTTCCTTCAACATCGCTTATTCTGCTATACTGTCAAGATCCACGGGTAAAGTGCAATTGAGTACAGTTGGAAACTTCACTACATCAGCTAACCTGAACTGCGGTGGAGGCTAATGCCGTGACTCCGTTCACTAACCGACGTCATTCGATCGCAAGCGTTCTTCGGTGATGCAGATTCGAGTTGACTTTGGGCATCTGGCAAATAAAGGTATATTGAGTTAGGAACTGCTGTTCTATTGAAATGAAATACTTCACGTAGATGAGCCCTAGTCGAGTGTAGGTGGAAGTTTCAAAAGCTCATTCATATTGTCAGCATCTAGACAGCTAACTAAATAATTAATATCGCAAGTAACAAAGTTGTGTCGGTTTTCGTAAATAGTTAAGGTTTCACTACTATTGTTCGCTTAAAATACCACTTGGGGTTTTCAGATTCCTGTTTGGTAGGATTCAATTGCTGTGTAGCCCTACGATATTCGCGATGAATGTGAACCTTGGGAGTTAATGCGATAAAATGACTGTATTGCCATCTCATATATTTTGCCAGTTGTCTGCTGGTTGCTGGGTATGTGTGTAAGTAGTGTACTTCTGCGTGGTTCGGAGATCTGGTGAATGCGGCCGATATCCTTTGTGCCACCAGTTTTCACCCGTTTGGACGACACCTGGTGTATTATGGACAGCTGTGTTATGATTACGACTGTTAGCACTGGCTTTGGAAGTTGTTCCCTTCAGTTCTTTTAGTGCGTTCATCATAGCAAGCTGGGATTGTTTTAAGTTTTGGATCAAAAATGAAGCATAACTAATAGCCCACAGTTGTAGCACATTAGAACGCCGGAGCGGATGTCAGATTTCCGTGACAAGCCACATTCGTATGCACATGGTTCATTCGATGAAGTGGCTACCGTGGGATGACAAACGATTTATCGGAAGTGAAAATGGCGAATATTTGTGTGCGCATGATGCTTCAAGGTTCCGGTTTACAATGACTAAAATGACTGCTGCATGTCTACCGGTGATGTTGCTAACGTTGGCAATGGTACCTAAGGTGAAGCCTTGGACCGAAATGTACCAAACATGCAAGTAAAATCTCCCTGCTACTTCCTACACCATTTTCAACATAATGAGGTAGAGTTGTGGCCTTGTGCACCTGAGTAACATTAGGCCAAATGCGCCGCGGACATTTGGAAAATAAACTTAATCAAGTTTTTTATAATACTGATTAACTGTGTGACAACTGATGAAACCGGACTATTGGATATACAGTGAGCGTCAAGATCTTGGGTACAATTGTCATATGTGGAGCTGATGAGGACCACTTAATCTTCGTTACATGCAAGCGGTACTGTGATCCCGCGAAGATATTCCCCGCAGCAACCGTCGACATGAGTGTCGTTGCTGCGATTCACTTTATTAACTATCGTTGTGGCTTCTACGGTTACCGGATGTAGGGAAACGATTTAATTGCTGTCTGCCTTATGCAGTGGATGATGTGGGAACGTTCCGCATGTGAATGCAAAACGGCTGCCTCTGTATACACAACTATTTCACGATGTGGTGATTAGTACGATGAGTTTGTAAGGGAATATCCAGAGTCTACTGTTTTCGTATTGCGGGAGCATATCTGTGATTGCCTTCGTTACACAGCAGTACCTTTTGTTGGCTTTTATTGGTAAAGTAGCATTAGGGTGCTGTTTTTCAGCCTTTCAAATCCAGTTGGTTCATCACTGTTAGAAACATTTGTATGCTGCTTTTTTAGCTTTCAGAGGTAACATGATGCCTCTAAACGTCACCCTGATCACGCTGTCTCCGTGATGTGGTCACACGTCTTATAAACAATTTACCCTCTTCAATTGTTTCGCCACAGATCACTTGGTATAAACTAAATATGCGACGTAACCCTTCTGACTATAGTCACTCTACAAGGTGGTACTAAGCCATTGCTTTGAAAAACGGGTACCGCCTTGTGCGCATCTGGTGAACAGTTCCGACGGTGACGTGGAAACTCCCAACCTAATGAGGAGTGCCCTCACCATGTAAGCAGGGCTTGTACAGAGCTGCCGATCTTTTATCTATATATCAGTTTTGACTAAGGTGGCGTGTATCGAACGGAAACTTCATAGAGGCCCTCAGCGTTGGAATCATCCGTACCAAAGGACTGTTTTGCACTCCTCTACGCTATTACTCGCCTTTACACGTTAATTACAGGGGAACGGACTGGCTGAGATTGAAATAGTTACTCGTAATAGAATGAAGCATTTACTTAGTCACTTGTATTGACGGAGTGAAATCGTACTGCTGAAGTTGAATATAGCTGCGGAACCAGCTTATCGTCCTCCAGCTCTCTTCAAATTCGGGGGACCTGCTTTTGTGAATGAGTTACATGCGTTATTAGTGAAACTGTGGGAGCAGGAAACTATCCCAAAGGACTAGAGCCGCTCTCCCATAGTCCTAATTTTCAAGGGAAACTCACGTTCGCCATGTCGTAACCATTCAGCCATCAGTCTGATCTGCATCGCCTACAAATAACTTACCTCTGTAAACCTTCACACACGGAATGACACTCGTGAAAGCCAGATTCATGAGGAGCCAGCCGGCTTTCGTCGTGGTGGGGGAGACATCGACCACATATGCACATTAACACCGTTATTGTAGCACCGTCACACATATTTGTGGCCAACCGTTGTTGTGTTCCTCGACGTCAAAGAGGTCATCGAATCGGTGGATCGATGTGAGTTTTGGGACTATCTGTTAAGGTGTGCCCGAGAAGTATGTGAATATTATGCAAGCGCTTTACGCGCGTAGCTTGAACAGAGTGAGGGATTACGGCAAGCTATCTTCGCCCTTCGATTTCTCCGGCGGTGTGCGGCAAGGATGCCCTTTGTCACCTTTTCTCTTCAACTTCACTACCTGGACAGCTGTATCAGCGCCCTTGGGAGCGAAGCTGAGATCATGAACCGTATTGCAAATACTCGAAGTGCTTTTGCTAACCTTCGCCACCTATGTCGCCGGCCCTAAATCACTCTCACACTGAAGGGTAGAGTGTACAATGCAGTGGTACGTTTGACCCTACTGTACTGTCGTAAAATCGGGCCCCTTAGAGCAGCGTGAAAAAAGGCTAGTTACGTTCCACCACCGGTGCCTTCGCAGTTTGCCTCACATCTGGTGGGAACACCGCGTGAACAGTGAATATGTTCGACGCCTTGTTTATGGCACAGGGAAAAGCACTGAACCGCTTAGCACCAATATTTAACGCACCATGCTCCGATGGCTAGGCTACGTGATGCACATGCCAGCCCGTCGACTCCTGCGACGTGCGTTGTTTGCTCGCCGGGGTGTGGACAGAAGATGAGGAAAGATGGCCAAGCGATGACTTGATCGAGAAGAATGAAGGCTCTCAGTTCGGAGCTGGCCTCGATTAGAGCTACTCGGCTACCTGGTTGGCGTTGAATGACGATGAACGCGTTTGGCTAGATGCACTTGCAGACATGTCTAAGAGACGACCTCAATAACGTTCGTGCTGAGAAATACATTGCATTTGTTTCAGTTGTGCATTGGGGTATTCGTCGTAGCAAATAAAATCAAACTGTACAATTCTGTGATCGTAGCCTTTTGTTGTGTGTTTTTAAAATGCTAGTTGGACAAACTTGACTGAGTGCACCCTAGAGATAGTCTGGGAGAAATGGTTGAAAACCACGTCACTAGTCACCGAAGCATCGGAGCAAAAATCTTCCACCATCCCATGAAACCAACATTATTCATGCGAAGTCAAACTTGAAGATTTATGGCCTTGGTGGAACACATGACGCTTTCATGTAAGCAATCCTGTTGCTGAGAATGAGACAGCATAGGTAGTTTTGAGCAATTAATATGTACAGTTGTTTCGTGAAAACAAGTAAGCACACCGATTGGAGCTAGCGAAACAATCCTGTTCGAACCACAACCTTATTTACAGACACGGGAATGCAGTTCAAAAGTTGCAGCGTGCAATCGCACACCTCAGTACGATTGGTGGGTATACACACATAACAAATAAAGCAGACAACGCCTCATTGCCCAGTACTGGCCTACATTCGATGGGCTACTACCCTCAAAGGTTATACCTGCTTCTGTCCCCACACCACCAGTGTTATCCAGCATCAAATGCATAGCAAAACTGGTTCTAAAAATGCTACTATCCTTGCGTACACACAGCTTTCCTAGTTTGCATAACCTTCACCCTAAAGCACTGCAGGCAGCAGCCATTCACCTAGCCCATCCACTTGTCGGATTCTTTCAGAGAAGTCCGTCTGATCCTACCAATTACCGTCCGGTAACACTTCTCTCTGCCCTTTCCAAAGTCATGGAAGCGATCCTCGTTGTCGTAATGACGGGCTAATTGGAAAACGTAGGCAATGCATTATTAGGATGGGTTGGTAATTTTCTCCGTGTACAGCAGTTCTAGGTTAGAGTCTGAACATCTCTGCCCGACCCTACTCGAAAGGAGTGGCACGGTATTGCGAGAGCCATCCCCGAAAAGTTTTACTTTTCCGGATGAAGTTAGAACTTGGTCTGCAATCAAGGAAATAGACGACCACAAGATACTCCATTTGGGAACTAGATGGGACGTGGCATTGACCGGTGAGGAATTCACTACCATTAAATGTGGTCAAGTGACACATTATCCACATCCGCAATGGACACGCTTATCTCTAAAATATTGGGGCATATGAACTGCAGACAAGCCATCAGGAACTTGACCACGGTGTGCTGGTGCAGGACGAATTTGGTTATTCCAGACAGTCGGAATCCAAAAGTGGTAACCATCACGTTGTTAGCTTGCGGATGACATTCGAAAGTTTGGATTCATTCATCTTCTTTATGCTGCTCTATGCCTAGGTGTGTTAACACGTCATATACTTAATCCAGGCTTGGCACGCTTGGCTAAATCGTGACCTTGCAGCGCTTGAAATCAACCATGGTGGAGCAGCAACTACCCTCGGCGTGTTCAGTAGACGCTACAGGTGGCTACTTGGAGACCACATATTAGTCTAACAGATACGAACCGACCGCACGTACACATTTTGACACCTACTGCAACTCATACCAAACACCGACTTCACAGGCAATAGCCTGAAACGGAGTCATCAACAGAGTCGACTTTTAATTAAGGCTGCACGAGCCTCAGTTCATTGAGACTCAGTAATTCCGCCATAAGTAGCCATCGAACGTTTCGGTGCCTACACTATGTATGTGCTCAACAACAGCCTGGAAGTTAAGAATTCTCTCCGACCGAAAGCATCATTAGCACCATTTGCAAGCGTACCAGTTTAGTCGTTAACATATTTGTGAAAAAGGATAATTATATTAACAGAGATGTATTGGAAAGATCATATATGCTGGTGAAGGCTATGTTCAAAATGTCCGCCGGCACTCTGCTTGCAGTGCAGAAACCGCTTGATGCAATTGGCGAGCACTTTCTCCAATGTAGCACTCGTGCTCGCCCGACATTCGTTCACAATATTTGCTTGTAACTGGTCAAAAGTAGGCGGTCTTGTTTTGTACATTTGCCGCTTCAGATAGCCCCATAGTACAAAGTCCATGGGGTTCCAACCTGGTGAGCGAGCAGGCCGCTC